GATCATAGATATATGTGTAAATCCCTGGCTCTGGGTGGCCTCAGTCCTCCACTGCAGCTTGGTCCCGAATTTATTTGCCACTAATTGTATTTGCGTGCAGGTGTAGTGTGTGTGTTTTGTGTTTTCTCACACATTTGTGTGTGTGTGTGTGTGTGTCAGGTATCTGCAGGAGGTGGGCTACACAGACACTATTCTAGACGTGAAGTCTCAGCGTGTGAAAGCTCTGCTGGGTCTGTGTGGAGAAACAGGCGGAGACGCCCGAGACGAGCCCATGGTGAACGGCACCGAACCCGCCTCACTCAAGGACAGCACACACACCATGATCGGGTATGACACACACACTCGCACACATACAAACACACATATAACCTAAACCTAAACTTAACCCTTACCGAAATCTGAATCAAACTGTGTTTTACACACACGCACATGCATAAATATACGCACACACACACACACACACACACACAATAAAATGAACAAAACAAATGTTGATGTCATATAATGTACCTGAAGAGTAACAGAAGCGCATCATTAGATTTTATTTAAAACATTGTGTTTTTGTTAAACTCTTTGGTCATTTTTTTAGTGAGATGCTAATGGTCTAATCCGATTCAATGATCTATGCTAAGCTAAGCTAAAAATGCTCCTGCCAGTCCAGATCAGCTGAATCCATTCAGAAATGGTAAAACTCAACTGATTAACTCGAGGAGTCTGTAAAGCGTATTTACAAAAGAGTGGAGTGTTTCTTTAAGAGTGTATAATGTCTCGTGTGTGTGTGTGTGTGTGTGTGTGTGTGTGTGTGTGTGTGTGTGTGTGTGTGTGTGTGTGTGTGTGTGTAACTGCAGTAAAGCAGAGATGTCAGACTCGGCCACAGTTCTGGAGGCCTTCAAGTTCATCGAGAAAGCAGCGGCAGAGTTCAGTGATGAGGAGGAGGATGAGGACAGCGAAGGACAGAACAGGAGCATCGTGGATCTGGCCACTGTGAGTCTCACACACATACCCACTCACCGGCCACTTTATTAGGTACACCTGACTAGTACCAGGTTGGACCCATTTTGCCTTCAGAACAGCCCTGATCCTTGGTGTCAGAGATTCAACAAGCTGCTGGAAATATTCCTCAGAGATTTTGCTCCATATTGTCATGATAGCATCACACAGTTGCTGCAGATTTGTCGGCTGCACATCCATGATGCCAATCTCCCTTTCCACCACATCCCAAAGCTGCTCTATTGGATTGAGCTCTGGTGACTGTGGAGGCCATTTGAGTACAGTGAACTCATCGTCATGTTCAAGAAACCAGTCTGAGATGATTGAGCTTTATGACATGCTGCGTTATCCTGCTGGAAGTAGCCATCAGAAGATGGAGACACTGTGCTCATAAAGGGATGGACATGGTCAGCAGCAATACTCAGGTAGGCTGTGGCGTTGTTGCTCAATTGGTACTAATGGACCCAAAGAAAATCTCCCCCACACCATTACACCACCACCACCAGCCTGAACCGCTGATACAAGGCAGGATGATCCATGCTTTCATGTTGTTGAGGCCAAATTGTGAGCCGAGCATCCGAATGTGTCAGCAGAAATGGAGACTCATCAGAGCAGCAACGTTTCTCCAATCTTCTATTGTCCAGTTTTGGTGAGTCTGTGTGAATTGTAGCCTCAGTTTCCTGTTCTTAGCTGACAGGAGCGGCACCCGGTGTGCTCTTCTGCTGCTGTAGCCCATCCGCCTCAAGGTTGGCCGTGTTGTGTGTTCAGAGATGCTCTTCTGCAGAGCTCGGATGTAACGAGTGCTTATTTGAGTTACTGTTGCCTTTCTATCAGCTGGAACCAGTCTGACCATTCTCCTCTGACCTCATCAACAAGGCATTTGCGCCCACAGAACTGCCGCTTACTGGATATTTCCTCTGTGTCGGAGCATTCTCTGTAAACCCTAGAGATGGTTGTGCGTGAAAATCCCAGCAGTTTCTGAAATACTCAGAGCAGCCCGTCTGGCAGCAACAACCATGCCACGTTCACAGTCACTGAAGGGTTGGTTTAGTTGCAGGGCCATATAACAAGCTGATAAAATACATTACACCTATGGAGAGTCCTCATAAACAACTAAAGCCAATATTTGTGTGTGTATGCGTGTAGATGGTGAGGAGGAAGGTGTCCCCGTCTCCCTCCTCGTCCTCCACAGACGTCAGTGAGGATCTGGACACAGACGAGGTGCTGAAGGGCTTCGACTTCCTGGCCAACACTGAGGACATGATGGAGGGACAGACACAGGACACTCCTGCTGCTGGAGACTGGGGTGAGGAGCGCGCGCACACACACACACACACACACGTGCATACAAACACTCACTCGCGCATATGTGCACATGCACACACTAAATCAAACACACCCACACACTTATTCACACACATGCTTGCACAGACACATGCTCTCACTCTCTCTCTCTTACACACACACACACACACACACACTCATTCACACTTGTTAAAATGCACACACT